CCTAACAATTCTATGATTCTATAAACCACCCCCCACCAAAGCTTGAGTGCAGCATCACAGGGGCTGCAACAGTAAACCAGTTTGTACGCGATTCCCTAAGGCAGTGGAAATACACCTCTGGATACCAAGTTTTATGTGTACGTGGCTCATTTTGGTGAAGGTAAGCCTGGTCCTAAATCAAACAGGAGGTGGTGCCCCAGGGACATCAGGGCTTGTTCCCGTCGGGTCAGCTGATCCAAAGCCAGGGCACTGTTCAGGTGGTTTAGCTAATTCAGAGAGTTTGGGTCACACCCTCATCACTTTATACCCCTCTTTTTCTGCTTCCTTTGCACAAGCTTTTTGTTGGAATTGCAGAGATGGCCTTAGGCTTTGTGTTTCCTGCGGGAGCGAGGCAGCACGGTACCAAATGGGATTTTAAATGGATGGCTGTAGGGAGAAACACGTGTCCTTGCACCTCTCTGTTTTGCCAGGACAGGGAAATGGAAGTGACAGTCTCCTCACCCTGCCCTGCCACCAAAATTCCCCAGACAGTGGCAAACGGGAAAGGAGCTGCGCAGCCCCGAGTGCATCTTGGCTGCTGCCCCGGGCTCTTTGCAGTATCGTGCTTTTTCCCTGTGAGAATCCTGCAAAGCTGGTGCTGCTATCTGCTCTTGGGCAACGACTTTTTGGAATGACAGCATTTGAAAACTGATGTTTTAAAGGTTTTAATTCCTTGCAGGAGATGCCCTTGGAAGAAATGTCATTTGCTTAGTTGACACGACTTCCAAAGAGACGGGAGAGTAGGATTTGTTTGTCTTTTTGTAGTAAAGCACTGCAAAATTCTTTGTACATAGTAAAACAATTGCTGAAAAGCCAAATGCAGGCACTCTGCAAGGGCTGGAAGAACCATTTGTCTCCAATCCAGCAAGAGCTTTAGTTAAAACCGAGCACATCGTACCTGTCTGTATATGTTTTGCAGAGTGGGAAACAAGCAATAAACCTTGAAGTGTCAACTTAGTAGGATTGAAAAGTGCTTTGACACCTTTATGAGCATCGACATATGCAGAGCAGGCCGTTGGATTAGAAATCCCGGTTCTTACAGTAAGAAACAACTAGTTTTCCGCATTTATTTTAGAAGAGAAAATCTATTTTTAGACTTCTAATAGCTCTTGTCTAATTTAGACAGTCTAATACATATTTAATTTAGAGTCATGTAAGGAAAAATAGCGACACGGTGTTAGCACATTGCAGACGTGTCACGTTAGAGCCAGGGAGCCTCATGCCCCAACCTGCTGTGGAGTGACATGCACTGCGTACGGCTGGTTAATGAACAGGGAAATCAGACAGACAAGAGGAAGGTTGTCGGGGAGCGACTTCCTGGCGCTTGCCCCAGCGCTACCCATGGCCACGGCTGCTGCTTTCCCCGTTTCCGATGATACGCCAGGATGGTAAGTATGAGAAACGGTGACTGTCGTCAGAACGAACCTGGGTTTTATCAGCAGGAGTATGTTTTCCCAACAACCCCAGCAGCTCTGTTTATGCCTGCTTAAAGGGACAGCCTAACGGACGTGGTGAGGCAAGTACGGGTGAAGTCAGCCAGCGACCACAGCAGCCTTCAGAGTGGGGCGCTGGAGGCTGGACGCCCCAGCAGCCACGGGTAGCTCTCCTACCCTGAATAATCTGTTCATCAGAGGCCATCGCTCTTCTGTCTCTGTCACAACTGTTTAGACTGTAAAGCTTTCACCAGCTTTATGTGTCTGCATCAAACTGGTAAGATTTTGCAGATGGAGCCTCCCTCCCAGAAAAGGGTTTCCATGGATTTTCCGGGTGTCTTTTCTCAATTTGCCCTTGAGCTACCAGCTCTTTTTCTTTTTTTTTTATTGTGAAGTTTGCCAGTGGGCGCAGGGCGCCCAGCCTCTTTGCAAATGTGGGGTGCGGGCGGGCAGCAAGCACTGCCGAGGTCGCAGCTCCCAAGCGGGAGAGGCTGACCCTGCAGCACCGAAGCCCGCAGGACCTGGCGAGCATTCCCCCTGGCTTTGGGCTAAGTCCTGTGGCAGGACTTCCTTCCCGCGCCGTTCAGAAAAAAACCGAGTGGTTTTAGAACCTTTCCAAGCTGGGTTTCATGTCTCCCGACGCTCTAATGAGTCTCCGGGGTCAGTTGTGAGCTGTGTCAATCCCCGATTTTCCTTCTGCTGCATTCAGTGTGACCAAGCGATCGATCTCTCACCAAACAGGCTGCCTCGACACTCTGCCTCTCACCGTCCATTCTTTGTGCCTTGCTTTTACATCCTCCCCTTTTTCCTTCCCTTTTTAAAACACTCATCGCTTCTTTCCCTCTGCCTGGCAAAGTTGTTCTGCACCTCTAGTCCATTTTCCCTTGCATGGAAACTATTTCTGAAGGAGTTATGCTAAAGATAGCCCAGCTGCACCTGAAAAGACAGTGCTCTTTTGTTATTTACGACATCCCTCCTTCCATGATCCGGTACCAACCGGAGGGAGCAGTGCCAGGCCCGTTTAATTCTGAAGAAACCCCCCAAAACTCCATCTATTCCCTAAGCGTTTGTTCTGCTGGCGACGGAGCATTAACAAAAAGTCACGGCAAGCTCACGGGCGCCGTTTGCTGCGTGTGCTATTCTACTGAGCGTGCAAAAGGGATATTTGTAACAGGGGTACAAATGACTTTCCCAGAAAACCAGACCATTTCCAGGGAGCCTGCCACCGGGAGCAAGAAGCCTTCCACGGTGGCGGCTGAGGCTGAGCAGGAGCAGCCCAAGCTGTGAGAGTCCTGCCCGGGACACCCAGCCTGCTCAAGGAGTGGAGGGGTGGCCGAGCTCTGGTGTGGGGTGCCCCCAAAAAGGGGGAGTTCAGTGCGGCATGCCACTCGGTTGTTTCCCTCCCTCTCCCCGCTCACACCCTGTGCTCGTGGTATCCCCAGGATTGCTTTTGTGGGGATTTCTGCCGGGAAAGTGTTGATCTCCCAGCGCACTCCGTTAGCTAGCGAGGGAGGAACAGCCTTTACCAGCAGACCGCAGGCACGCAGAGAGGCGGCACGGCCACACATCAACGTGACAAAGCTTTTTTTCCCCTCCGTCTACATACATTTAGAAGATTACTGTTAAAAATAACTTGTCCAAACAAACACCAAATACCAGCTGTTCTTTTATTATAATTTAACATTTTAATGACACCCTCCCCATCCCCCAAGCAAAAGCAACCCAAGCCGAGACCTGCAGACTACTGCTCTCCCCAGCACGAAGCCGACGGAAGAAGAAAGCTTAACGTGTGTGCAGTGAGCTAGGGTCTGGGGGCTTTTTTCTGTCTTTAGATTCTTTTTATTCAGTGACTCAGGCCTACGGATTGTTAAATGGAGAACTGGTCATATTTTTAAAACCCAGAGAAGGCTCGAGGGTTCAACTCGGCCGGGTTGAGATCTCCACTCTGGCTGCTGAATTCCACCTTTGCGAGGCAGCAAACACCACTGCAGCGAACTCCGGCATACAGGACCCCCTAACACAATTATCTTTCTTGAACCACAGCCACGTTAATTAGCAAACGTTAACCGATGACCAAGGGCAAGCACGGGTGCACCACCAGTGACGCGCCCGTAAGCGCAGTCCCACCTCAGCGATTCCGGTCCAGATTTGTCTCACTATGGCCAGGAATTGTGTAGTTCAGGTCTGCATTTAAAAAAAAAATCTGTGGAGCAGAATCAGTGGGCTGGTTTTTGACTTGGGGTGCAGCGTTAGGTAGCCGTAAGTCCTGGGCGCAGGCCAGCACGTTCGGTGACGGGTCTGGTTTGTGGCGAGATGGGTTAAGTCGGTGTGACATTTGCCTGCGGAGTACATAACGTGACGCCGTGGAAATGCACTGCTAACATTTAACAAACGCTATGGGTTTATCATGAGGAAGCGACCAGGAATATCTAAACTCTTACAGATACAAGGGATTGGTTGCTAGTATATAAATAAGAGACCTTATTTGATTGCATGAGTCAGACTAAAAGGGTTAAGCCCAGATGCTGTGCAGAGGAGACACTTCCCCAAGGGAAGAGTCAGTGAAACTGCCCGGAAAACTCTCCTTCATGATCACGAGACCAAGTACTAAACACATATGCCCCCTTCTTCAAGTACGTTCAAGGTGGTGGGCGAGTTCTTTCGCATCCATCTCCTTGCAAGGCTGCGTTTTGAGAAATCTCGTTTATAAGAAAACCCTCTTCAAACAGCAAAGGTTGTTTCTCCTGGGAATTTTACCCACCCCAGCACCCAAGCAGAACTGCTGCCTCCAACTCCCTCCCCCTTTGCCATCCTGAATGTTAGGAGTTTTAGAAAAATACCAGAAATCCCACAGAACGCGCACCACGAACAACATGTAATAAACTGCAACCACGGGTTTACTGGCAATTCACTCCAGCTTTTCCTACGGAGTTGTATATTTCAGGAGCTGCACACCATCCTCAGTACTTCATGGTCCCTGTGTGCTCTGTCGGCAAACACACAAGCAGCATTTCAACCTACAAACGGTTCCAAAGCGCCACACGCCCCGACAAATGTCCATCCTTTTGCGACGCCCCCCGTGAAAAGAAAGTTCTCTTTTCCCTCGCAGAGAATGCCTGGAAAAGCGTGGAGCGCAGCCTCAGAAGCTGGTGGCGTACTCGTTCCTCGTGCTACCGCTGGTGTCTGTGTAGCCACCAGCGTCTTTGGTGACCCTGAAAGCCCTTCCCGCAGCTCGGTGAGGCAACAGCAGCTTGTAGGCTGCTGCCCTGTACTTCTTTGAAATGAGGTTGTAGAGGATTGGGTTGATGGACGCGCTCAGGTAGAAAAGCTGCAGAGCGAATATATTAAAGTACTGGGAGAACAGCATCATCCTGGTGTCCCGGGTGTTTATAAATATGATCCTGCCAATGTGGAAAGGCAACCAGCAAATTACAAAGGCCAGAACCACCACAGCTATAAGACAAAACAACACATGTGACAGTTAAGGAGCGAGTTAACTTTGCAACCATCCAGTAAACTGAATTTTTACGTGGCTGATTTTGCAGGTTCTTCTAACCAGTACAAATGATACATAGAAATAACGGGATTAAACTGTTGGAAAACCACGAAAACGGGAATAGCATCAAGTCTGATTGTTAGTCTTTGGATTAAAAGGTAACTGGGCAAAATCTTCAGCTAAAGCATGAGTTTGCTGAGAAAAATGTAAACAACTAACAGTGGTGGGACATCCTGTATGATAACACCAGGCACAACAAAGATTCCCCTCGGCAATGTCTATAACGCCACCGGTGTGACAGGAAAACGAAAGTCAGAGTAAGAAGATGTGTTCTTTGTGGGAGCACACGGCAACTCCATTCGCTACCGAGTTGGTTCTTTACCGAAAAAGTGTAGGGTAAGGGCTGAAAATCTCACCCACT